TCGTAGAAATCTATATATATGAGGATGTTTGTTTGTTTGTTTGTTCGTTGTACAATCCTAAGCCGTTCGAACAATTGCTACGAAACTCGGCAGATACTTTCAAATTCTTATAGGTTGTTATAGTTTGACAAATAGAAAATCATTTTTGGGGCTAACTGTTAATGACACCAGATAGCTTAAATACACTAAATACTTTTTCCTAAATTTAGTCCTATACATCCAGTAATCCGACACCCACTGGTCCCATATATGTCGGATTAGAGAGATTCTATTTTATTCTGTGCGAAATAGGAGTGCGTCTTATATGCCCCAAAACACGCCATTAATGTTACAGCTTATAAAATAAACATATCGTTCTATCTTCTTTGTAATATTGTCGTCCATTCTTTACTTTTGGCCTCGTTTATTTTAATTTCTTTCTATATTTTTCAAGCCAATTTCCGGCTTTTATGGCTCTGAATTTGGCGGTTTAAAATTCAAAAATTTAAATGATCTGACGTCGCTCATGTAGTCGCGAATTCTTTTCAATTCATAGATTTTAATTGCATGTAAAATTAAGTTTATCGCATTTTATTATTTCAATAATTTTTATTATCGCATTTTTTTCATCAAAATTTTAAACTTTAAAACGATTTAAATAAGAATTAATTTTAAAAATTTAAATATTATGACGTCATTTTTTGGCCCTCTACATTTTTAATTGGCAAAATGTGACGTCACGTATATCTTTAAAAAAATGGCGTTATCTCTAAAATATGAAAGATTCTTTATTTTGTAAACATTTAAAGCCAAAAAATACTTTTCAATCTGTTAATCGTTGCTTTTTAGGATTAAAAATAATAAATCATTCATAAAAAATTAAAAATTTGTAATTTGAATTAATAATTTGATTATCATTAAAATACTACATTTAGATTAAGTGTTTGTATTATCATATTAACAACAATTAATTTTTGGTTAATAAGGGAAACAATTGATTAACTGTTTGATAATTAAATATAATTTTTATTGTTTTACTACGTATCTCAAGTATCAACAGTTAGAAAATGTCGAGAAGAACGGCTCTGAGGCGAATTAAAAGGGAATTGATCAGTATCACAAGAGATCCACCAGCTTATTGTTCGGCGGGACCTATCGACGACAACATGTTTGAATGGCAAGCTACTATAATGGGTCCACCCGATAGTCCATACGAAGGAGGTGTCTTCTTTCTCAAAATTTTCTTCTCCAACAATTACCCGTTTCAACCTCCTGGAATTAAATTTGAAACCAAAATTTATCATCCAAACATCAATATAAATGGCATCATTTGTTTGGANAGAAAAATTTTACATTTTTTAATTGGAAATCTTTGTGTTTTTAAAAGGACTTTTTAGCGTTTTGGCGGCTAGTAGCCTAAAAAGGAAGGTCGGTCGCCAGGATTGTATTGTCTGGAACATAAAGTTAATAAATGGTGGTCCCGTTTGGGCGAATTTGGTCTCCTAATATGAAGTCATACGAAGTCTTTTGGACGTTAAGGTGAACTTCGATCACATGCGGGGCCATCATAACCTTTCCAATACGGATCACTTTTCAAATATTAATAGTATACCAATATTAATGAGTAGTCGTTGACCATCCTCTCTTCCGGGAGAAGGTCAACGACTAACCTTTTCGTGGAATTAACTGCGACACTCTTCCGCAACACTCTTTTCTTTCCAGCAGTATGGAGGCATTCGAATAGGAAAATTACATAATATAAAGTTACCGAGCAACACAAAATATGATTTAAGTGGTTTTCGAGGATGCAGAGTTTAAATATTTGGTTAAACAAAGAGTTAGGATAAGTTAAAATGTTACAGAAAGGTAATTTAAGATTTAAGGTTGATTTTGGAGTTTAATAATTTTCAAACTTTAAGCCCATATCTTTTTTATTAATATTGGTTAAATTATTAATGAGATTAATGAGAAAGGACCTATGATATATGCTATTCACAATTAATATTCTGTTATTAATGAGATAAACAGTAATTAAAGTTATGCTGGAAAAGGTTAGGAACAGATTAAAGATAGGGAGTATTAAAAGTCAATAGAGACAAAACTTACATGTTAGTTCTTGAAATCAGATAGGGGCTATTAGAGGAAAAAGAAGGAATTAGATTTCCGAATAAGTTACGAAAATGGAAATTTCATCAATTTAGAATTGTATTTGCAGAATAAGAATGAGTTATAGGTTGACAAATAGAATAAATGTGGGATGGCAATAACTCAAACAGTTTATTAGATATTGACAGTGATAAGTTAGCGATCATATGGAGTCTATGTTACTTGGTATTTCAATCGTTTATGTATCATACATGTATGTGTGCATATGCCTATATCATCTATACCAGGGGTGGCCAACCTTTTTTGCATACCATGCGCCAATTTTTTGATAGTCGAAATCAGATGCGCAGTGGCGTACCGTGAGTTTTAGCAGCCCGGGGCGGAGAGAAATTTCGGCCAACTCTTAATTAGGTATTTCAATTCAGAAGACGAAAATTCAGTTTTGCCACAGAACAAGCAATCAAAAATGCGGTTGTAGTGTAGCTACCCGTATAAAATAGTTCTATATGACATTAGTGGTGTACAGTACTGTAATGAAGCCAAATCTGGCAATGTTGCTCAGAACCGACTAAAGCGCCATTTGCAATCGTCCAATGCGCCAAGTTTGGCGCATGCGCCACGTTTTGGCCACCCCTGATCTATACATAGGACCCAATATGCCTGTATATACAATGGATAACGGACTGTATATACAATGTAGGTTATCAATGACACTGCATCCATATTCTACCTTTGATGGTGCATAATACCTTATAAACTACCAAAATAGACTCAATGAGAATTTCATACGTCAAAAATGATATCCCAAATACTACCTCTCACTGTACTAAATCAAGTAAAATTGCATAGTATTAAAGCTAATAAATTATTTGNGTTCAACACTACTGCAATAATGATGACGGTTTTACTTTCCAAGCTGTTATGTATACATAACTAGGCAAAGTATTGAAATCGTGTCAAATTCGACCATCCGCTATTTGAGACCTTTTGTATATAGATATAGATTTTGTCTGTATAGAGGATAGAATGTTTGTCTCTTTCTGTCCTTAGCTTTTTGGTTGATCTGCATCAATTTCTCATACTTATTCTCTGGGGCACTGATGAAAATCTATAGGCTGCCACATAAACCTTCTAAACTGAACGTGAATGAGAAACTTTAATATACGAGGTCTGTTCAAAAAGTATCGGACTTTTATTTTTTCCGCGTAAACCAATGATGCGCGGGAGGCCTCTTTCGGTGGAGTTGTGGAGGGAACAGTCATGCACAGCCCTGAATTTTTTCCCGCCTGCAGGAAGCGTCAGTCGTTGGCAGTCGGCCTATGAGTGAAAACATGTAGCGAGCTCTCGTCGGATTCCACTAAGTTGGAAAATGACTGAACAACGTGAGCAGCGATATTACATCAAATTTTGCCAAAAACCTTGGCGACACCCAAGCGTAAACCATTCGCAAGATTCAGCAGGCTTTCGGGGACGATCCTNCAATGACACTGCATCCATATTCTACCTTTGATGGTGCATAATACCTTATAAACTACCAAAATAGACTCAATGAGAATTTCATACGTCAAAAATGATATCCCAAATACTACCTCTCACTGTACTAAATCAAGTAAAATTGCATAGTATTAAAGCTAATAAATTATTTGTAAAAATAAAGTTTGCCTTTATCTGGGTAAAATTTCTGTCATCATTTACATGCACCAAAGGATAAGCTACAGTATTCACAATTGCAGTGTCATAGATACAAATTAAAATACAGATATCCGTCGTATAACACCGTAGTTGCGTTCCAAAAAAGTGTCGTGTTACGCGTATCCGTGCTATACGAAACAGATGACTACTGTTTCGTATAGCACGGATAACATGGGGTTGACTCCAAAAGTTAGCAAAAGTATAGACTATTATTCTTTTTCGTTACTAAGACAAAATGTTTCTTAAAGCAATCGATAATTTATTCCCAATCAATATTTAATTAACAATCGCAATTTAAATCATTGTATTACGCGTTAATAGTACTTTACTAAATACAAAGATTAATCTATAAAAACAAAACACGATGGCAAGTCTTAAAAACTAGTCTGAAAGCAACGACATCTGGTTGACGGGGAAAGCTAAGGACAAGGAAGAAGAAATTGCATTATCAGTTTTCATTAAAGTAAACCCGACGGAAGGCTGAAAAAAAAATTTAAAATTTCGATAGTCTAAATCCGTCAGCAAATTTGAGACAACACGCGTGCTTACTTGAAGAAAAAATGTTGACATCCTCTTCCTAGTTCAATTCTTGGATTAAAATGCTATTGTTTAATTAATTAAACATATTATTATTATTTTTTAAAACAAGAGTACAGAAAAACCATTTTTGGGGCTGACTGTCAATGATACCGGACAGCTTAAATACACTAAATACTTTTTCCTAAATAGAGCAGATTCTTTAGTCCTACACATCCAGTAATCTGACACCCGCTGGTCCCATATATGTCGGATTAGAGACACTACTTTATTCTGTGAGAAATAGGAGTGCGTCTTAATTTCAATAATTTTTATTATTGCATTTTTTCATCAAAATTTTAAACTTTAAAACAATTTAAATGAGAATTACTTTTAAAAATTTAAATATTATGACGTCATTTTTTGGCCCTCTACATTTTTAATTGGCAAAATGTGACGTCACGTATATCTTTTTTAAAAAAAATGGCGTTATCTCTAAAATATGAAAGATTCTTTATTTTGTAAACATTTAAAGCCGAAAAATACTTTTCAATCTATTAATTGTTGCCTTTTAGGATTAAAAATAATAAATCATTTTTAAAAAATTAAAAATTTGTAATTTGAATTGATAATTTGATTATCATTAAAATACTACATTTAGATTAAGTGTTTGTTTGTACCAACAATTAATTTCTGGTTAATAAGGGAAACAATTGATTAACTGTTTGATAATTAAATATATTTTTTATTGTTTTACTACGTATCTCAAGTAACAACAGTTAGAAAATGTCGAGGAGAACGGCTCTGAGGCGAATTAAAAGGGAATTGATCAGTATCACAAGAGATCCACCAGCTTATTGTTCGGCGGGACCTATCGACGACAACATGTTGGGTCCACCCGATAGTCCATACGAAGGAGGTGTCTTCTTTCTCAAAATTTTCTTCTCCAACAATTACCCGTTTCAACCTCCTGGAATTAAATTTGAAACCAAAATTTATCATCCAAACATCAATATAAATGGCATCATTTGTTTGTATATTTTAGAACGAAATTGGTCTCCAGCGCTGACCATTCCCAAATTGCTACTTTCTGTATGTTCGCTTCTCTGCGATCCGAACACCGAAGATCCGTTAGATGAAGAAATCGCCGAATTATACGAGAGAGATAAGGAAAGTTACAACAAAAATGCGAAAGAATGGACTGAGAGATACGCAATGGAACATTGAAAATTATTTTTCATTCGTCGTTTTCATTCTATTTTTCTTCATAACGCAAAAACACCCCTAAATTCAGAAAAATGTATCACAAATCCGGCAAATCTCTACAAAAATACGTTTTTTTATGCAAAATTATAATAATTATATAAATGAATGGGTTAAAATTTGTGCATAAACAAATAAATAACAATTATGTATCAATCTTGTCGATTTTTCTTGTTTTATTAAAAATTAAAACAACATTAAAAAATTATACAAGTGGAGCTTTATGGGCAATAGGGGAGTAGGACAACCCAACCCACCGCTCGCCTCAAGGGCTTCGCCTAATTGTTTCCAATATAGACTACTCGTAACAAAAATTTCGTGGCCATCCCGAGAAAGACCAATAACTTTTCGCACTCCTCTTTCCTAATTACGTTCTTGTTTTCGTAGAATTCATCTTGAACACGAAAAATTTTCAACACTACTGCAATAGTGATGGCGGTTTTACTTTCCCAGCTGTTATGTATACATAACTAGGCAAAGTATTGAAATCGTGTCAAATTCGACTCTCCGCTATTTGAGATTTTTTGTATATAGATACAGATTTTGTTTGTATAGAGGATAGAATGTTTGAATCTTTCTGTCCTTAGCTTTTTGGTCGATCTGCATCAATTTCTGATAGTCTACTTATTCTCTGGAACACTGACGAAAATCTACAGGCTGCCACATAAACCTTCTAAACTGAACGTGAATGAGAAACTTTAGTATATGACCACATTATAGTGAAATATTATATTTAATTTTTTTATAATATTATTTGTTTGATCTCCAAATGTATCCAAAAAGAGATTTGAAATCAATTTCTAAGTTATGCATGAAATGGAGTAAAGCTGATAATCTTTTGTGTATCATTCACCCCCTTTGAAAGTTTCTCATTTTGAAATTTTGATAAACTTAATACCTTTTTGTAGTTTCTTCGAAAAACATACGTAATTTCATTACTGTTTCATTATTTAGATGTTTTATTGCTAAAACATGCTTGTCTCTCAATTCAAATTATTTTCAGTGCTGAAATTATAAATATATAAAGAAAATTAAATAGTTTATTTCTTGCTATATCTATAAAATAATGACGTAGATGCCTTTATTAAGAGAAATTTATAAATTAGTTGTTGTAAATAAATTTAAAGGAAAAAGCAATTTAAACCATGTTTATAAGTTTGATAGTATGAAAAAAAATGTACACTATTTGCGAAGTTCCTTCTAATCGTATTAAAATTACTTTAAAAATTACCAAAAGATAATGAATCCGTTATATATTGAATTTAAATTGATCATAACAGAACGGACTATTATTAAAATTTGAAAACATTTATCATCATTTAATGTGAAAACCAATAAGTTTATCTTTCTAGAAGCGTACAGTATTTTGGCACCCATTGCATATAAGTATTCCCTGCTGAAAGAAAGGAAATGTGTCATTCTGCAGTTGATGCTCAGTGCAAAACTCTGCTAAACTTCGCTTTAACTTTTTCATTTCGTCGTATTTTTGTATAATTTTTTAAATGATTTATGCATGCTAGCTTGTTAAATTTGTGTTAAATTTAAATTCTGTTAAAATGCTTTTATAAATGTATTTTTTTCGGGGTGTGGAATGGATTAATCTAAATTACATTATTCCTTGTGGGAAAAATTCGTTCGATATTCGAATAGCCTATGGAACGAAATTTGTTCGAATAACGAGGTATCACTGTATAAGGTCATACAAGTATTATATATACTCGTATGTAGGCTATATCAGCGTTTCTCAAACTTTTTGATCACGCGATCTAGTAATACGGTATATGTATTTGTTTGTATCGGATCCGCGACCCAAATGTTTATAGTCTAATATAATTTTTTTTTAAAAAAACAGATAAATTGGAGTCACCGTATATTATATAACAAAATTTAAAATGTGCATTATTGAAGATAACTTCCACATGTGAAAAGTAACTTTAAATTTCTAGTAAAAGCGGTTCGGGACATTTTTGATTTGTAACAACAAAAACTAAACTTGAAGTAAGTTATTATTAAAATTTAATTATTAAAAATGACGATTGTAAATTAAACACAGTTTCAAAATTACTCAGGTGTATATTTTACTTTAAAAAATATTACAAGTTTTTTTTAATAAACTTTAATTAAAAGAGAAGGAAATGGGGATATAGAAGGGATCATGTATCATTTCTAAGTAGAGTCGGACTTAATGAAGATTTTACTCGTTATTAGCACTTACATTTTCTTTTCTTTTTTCTTTTTTATAAAGCTTATCTCTACCCTCAAAATTAAGCTTTTTTTCATAATAATAGAGAGGTTGAGGCACAAGGGCAAGTCTTAA